ACATACATATATACATACATATATACATACATATATACATACATATATACATACATATATACATACATACATATATACATACATATATACATACATATATACATATATACACATACATACATACATACATACATACATACATACATATACACACTTGTATTTATGGATTACCGTATCCTCCTCTGGAGAGCAAGGTCCATCTGCTCATCGTCACAGCTGTCATGGCAGAAAACCCATTTGTGCAACCGTGTCATTATTAACTTCTCTACGTGCTCCATTATCCGAGTGACCTGAGCCTCAGGAAAACCTGAAAATCAAATGAAATATATAGTTTTAAAAACAACGGCAATTTAAAAAGTCATACAAATTCTTTCAGGATAACCGGCCCCGGAGGTGTTGAACCGTTCTGTACTCACTGCTAAAATATTCAGCAAAAGACTGGAAGAAATCCTGCACAAGATCCGACTGCTTCTGTACCGGCAGGTCCTGTAAAGAAGATGATGCGCTTTGATCAAAGAAGTCAATAAGAAGTTATGAGAAGTGTAGTGTTAAATATTACAACAGATATATTACGTGGTAAGCTTCCATTGTGTTGAGGAAAGCTGTACATCGGGACTGCAGGCGCTGGGAGGAAGGGCTCTTCAGTATCTTTAGGAAACCGGTGAAGTCTCCGGGCTCGAGGCTCTGATAAGGTTTCAACACATTCGCATGCCTTTCAGAGGACTCTAAAAGGGACAAAAGGTGGATGTTATTCCAGATTAATGAGTAAACATGTTACTCAGAATGGCTCCATTTGTTGAAACACTGCTGGCCAGGTCACTGAATTTGGTAAAATAGTAAATGAACGGGGCACACAGGAGGAGAAGGGTGCATCCCTACTGACCCCGTAGCAATAAAAGCACTACACTACCCAGACATGTGCACATGGGACCCCATCGGTCCGCGAGGCCATGAAGGAAAACACCTGCTGATGAGGAGGTCTGACTTGAACACTTGCATCGAAGTACACAAAGCAAACAGGACTACCTTGAGGTTTAGGAGGCGATGGGCTGCCCCAGAAGAGCCTCCTCATTGTGTTGATTCGACGACCTTTCTCTGTGCTTTTCTTCTCCTCGAATTTGGAGAAGGTGAATGGAGTTCCATCAGTGCTCGGCCTGCAGAGAACAACAACATTAGGCATTCAAATCTGAACCCAGTTTTAAGCCAAGAGCACTTAAGCAGCCTCAATCCAGTATTAGTGGATAGTTATACTAACAAAGCACAATGTGTAAAATGAGTATGCATAGCATCTATTCAGGTGATCATCAAGGGTGCCACTTGCACGTGATGATATTAAGATGCGACTCCACCTACACCATGGTGTTGATAACATACAACAGGGTCTAAATGCTCCTGTGAGTGTGAGTGAGCAGGTCTACCTCTCGTCTTGCCTCGAGGCTGCAGCTGGGCGTGCTTTCTCCCTCCAGCACTTGGAGCAGAAGCCCTGCCACACCGGGTTTCCATAATAGCCACAGGCGTTCTTGCAGAGCAGCTCCTGCTGAGACACTCGGATTCCTCGTTGTTTATCTGTCCACATTGCAGAGTTCTTCCGTGTACCACCCTCACCTATTGGACAGAACATAGAACATGTGTATATTAATAATTTAACCATGCAAATATACCAACTAGTGTCTTATCTTGTTAACCAGTTTAAGGAATTTATCACCGTCTTTCTAAATAAAAGTTTCTTTACAGGAAGTTTTTCTTTCTCACACTTTGCTTTTACATCCAACAACTCTTTCATCTGCCTTTCTATTAAATCTTATTTTCCACAATATCTAATACTACATCGTGACACCTGTAGTCTACTGGAGCTAACTTTAGAGCCTTAGATTAAAAGCTCAGCTATAGTTCATGAGAGCAGGCTAACGCTGTTAGCTCGTCAGATGACAGTCAGCTGAGGGGATTGTTGGAGATAAGAGCGGCTCGTGTTAGACTTAAAAGCTGACAACTATTCAACTGTCTCGGGTAGAAGTATAAACTAATTCAACTGGTGGTCACAGTTGTTGAACCTCCTCCTCACCTGTCAGCTGGTGGAATCATGACGTGAGCTGCTTCCTTATCGGCTTTTTTTTTTTTTTTTTCCTCTTCACAAGCTCTTCATAACTTGTAACGTACAGTGAGAACAACAATCCTCCAGATCTCGGTTGATTAGTTGTAGTTAGAGAAGAATGAAACAGTAGTTAGCTAGCGAACATTCACGTTGCACTAACTAAACACGGAGACAGAAGAACAGCTGCTTTCAAACCTGTGCAACCGGAAAGTATTGAGGAAACAAACTGTGAAGCTCAACACAGTGTCGACCTTTCAAAGTAAAAGTATGGTGGAAATATGTACTTATTACCCGCTTTAACTATCCAGAGTTACACGTCCAACACATAGACGTCTCCCTCGACCATAACATAACAAACCCCGTGATTCAGCCCATTTTGAATTCCGGTTTCTGTATTGAATACATTTTCTATATTGAATGTCTCTACCGGAAGTGTTTATTTGCTGTTATATCTTGACGCTCGTGGAGGTGATGGTCGTCATGAGGGAATTCCTTGCCCTCTAGTGGTCACATTGCGTAACCACATCATTGTCTGTGACGTAGGTTTTACCTTTATATGTTATAAATTATGTTATACTGTGTAACGTTAACATTAAGTATTATGCCTTCGTTTTCAAAAAGCAGTCTGTCACAATGACCCCTGTCCTGCGGTGTAAACATTTAGGTTTCATGTCTTGACGGTATTTAGAATAACATGTGTTTGCTGCCCCCCTGTGGTCACAGTGAAGAACTACAACACATTGAATTTGTCAGGTCAGCGTTAATAAAACATAACAAGACTTCCGGTAGATACTTTCAAAATACATGTGACCAAACTGAAACGATCACGAACTAATATAAATGATAACGATCTTGCTAATTGTTCTGAGGTGTTAAAAATCTTCACAATTTAAGGAGGAAAATACAGATAGTGATAGAGGCTTTCAATATTCTATTGCTGCTCTTTTAGTAATAGCTGTCTGAATTAATAATGTGTACTTTGTGTATCAAACTGCTGTTTTGTTGTTTTAACTTAATATTTGTTATTTTGAAAACAAATGAAAAACTATTGGAGAGGTCTTGTCCTTGTTTTTGTATTTTACAGCTCATTTAAGGCCACTCCGAACAGACAGCCCCAGGTATGGTATTTATGTTGTACCTAGTTTAACGTTTTTAGTGAGTCGGTGTCAAGTTGTTTTACCGCCCTCCTGTGGTCACATCGGGGAACTGCAATATTACTTTTAGATTCATCAAGTGTCGTCATTCTAGCTTTTCCGGTAAAATACTTTCAGAATACAGTGACCAACCTGAAGTAGTAAGAACAAATATATAGTCATCACGTTTATGTTACCTGTATAAATACAAGGCAAAGCTTACTCCATAGACATTAAACACCCAAAATAAACGTTCAAAATGGAGAAGCACTCTGACCAAAGTTATGTTCAGCTAAAACAGAGTATTCAACAGTATATGACAGGTTTTAATGACCTGAGGAGGTGTTTACATTCAACAATTACACACAAATTATGTAGAACTGAGTACAATTAAATTAATATATAAAATGAACAAACTGCAGTGTTCCACTTTGATCAGTTGGTAATCCATCTTGCAAAACTAAACTTAACCGATGCATCATATTTGATGGGATATTTACATGCTTGCATATAAAAATCTATTTTTGCAACGCAATACTGCAGCCAAATGATTAGGTATATTATTAATGGTGCTTTTAATTTGAAAGGGCTAATCGGAACATCCGTGTTTTATTTTAATGAGCTTCACTTGTCATCCACTCGCTCCATGGTAACTAGGCAACGAGACGCTTCGCAGGAGCTAAATTACAGAGATTGTGTTTTTTAATGCAATTGAGCAGTTACGAAAGGATTTTATAAGAGCTGATATTATGGTTATGTGTTATCAGTTCATTTAATTGCCATATATATATATATATGTTTTGTAGCCGAACGTTACTCTTTGGCTAACTTAGCCTAACTGTTAACTAGCTAACTGTGCTGTAAGCAGAGACGTCGACAGAATAAAGGTAATTTAAAGCTCTGTGAAGCAACTGCAAAGAGAGAGTAACCGTCCAAGACGTGAAGTGGTTAGACATCATGTCAGGTGCTGAAGCTAAGGAGGAGCTGGGGAAGAGTTCAGGAGTTAGGAAAGAGGAAACAGGGCAGTCTCAAGTCTACACTGCAACCAGAGACACACTCATCCCAAAGAAGAGTGCCCTCACTAGAACACATGCATTGGTAAGCATGTCTTTGTTGAAGGTGTATATTTGTACAAAATGAGTACTCTTTGTATATTGACCCTCTGCACTTGCAGTCAAGAAAGTTTCAAGAAAAATATTTACTTCAAACAAAACATTTCTTTGGATCAAAGGGTAATCTAAGAACTGTCACTCATAACAAAACTGAAAATGTGCTCTTTATTCAGTCTCTAGCATGGGTATTTGGGAGGAATCCTGCTCTTCCTGCCTTCAGTCTGCAAGACCACGATCAGCTGGTGGTGCTCTATTCAGGAGCTAATGTTGGGGTCATCTACAATCACACAACAAACTCCCAGCACATACTTCAGGTATAAAAATCAGCAGGTTTCAGGTTGCAGCGTTGATTTAAAAAAGCCTAACGTCTATACTCAATGTTCTCAGGGTCACTGCTGCAACATCTCACGTATGTGTGTCAGCGAGGACAGACGCTGGATTGCATCAGCAGACACAAGCACCACAGTGATGATATGGGACTCCTACTCTGGGTAGCTCTTCATTCTACATCTAGGCTTTTTTATGTATTAACCTTTGCTCTTGATGGTGACAACATAAATGATGCATATTTCAGCATTCCAGTGCATACGTTGTTCGATTGCCACCCCGAGGGAGGTGTCACCGCGATGGCGTTTTCAAGAGACACGAAACATCTGGTAACCCTCGGGGCTGAGGAAGTTCAAGTGAGTGTGCCAGCAGTTGTTTTTTAAATCAAGTAAACAGTGTTGGATACTCTAGGTTGTGAAATGCACAATCCAGGAAAAAAAAACAGAGACACATTTATGATCTGTGGTTTTGTTAAGTAGCACCTTCTGGTCTTCATTCATGATGAATAGAAAATAGAAGGTCAAGAGTTTGACACCACCAAACACTGTGGCTTTCTGTCATTTGACCTTCTCTTGATGGCATGGTAGTGTATGTATCTATATATTTAGGATCTTTAAACATTATGTCATGATCTTTTTTAGGATTAGCATCAGGGATTAAGTACAATTTACAAATGAAAAAACGATAAGAAATTGTAAATATCTCAAAAACTGCACTCTTTGTAGATATAACCGTACAACATCACGTTCACAAAAACAGCTTATGTGGTTGATATTTAACACTGGATTTGACAAAATTAATCTGTTCACAATTAACCCTTTGACGATCTTTGCACAGCGTGTGTGTATTTGGGATTGGACAAAAGAAACAGATAAGCCTTTGTGGTTTATTGAACTCAGTCCCAACCATGGTTTCCAAGTAAGTAACTTTTGTATTCTTCTAACATTTGTTTTTTTTTACGTCACCTTACTTTATAGATATGTCAGTCAGCAGATCAAACATTCAAATGTTGAATTGTTTTTCAGGATTACATCATTTTTAATCCAAATGATAGCACTCAGTTGCTCAGCAATAGTAAAAGCAAGGTGCTGTTTTACAGCAGGGTAAGTCCTGCTGGTCCCTTTTTCTCTAAATAGATAAAACAGCTGTTACGTACGTATGTTTATTGCAATAATCATCTGATCTTTTTTAAGGCCAAAGGAAGTCTGCAATACTTTGCCCTGACGATTAAGGAGGTACAAATAATCATCAAAATGTTGTAGAAGATGTCATAGATGTTTCTGTCATTTATGTCAATTCTTTTTTAATATATATTACGATGTTTAAACTGTTCAACGTTGAAGTTCCATGATTCCGCTACCTGTGGATTTGATTCTTCTGTATTTGCTCAGTACGCTTCTCAAACGGGCACCATGGCGGGCGGGTCACTGTCTGTGTTTCACTTGAGAGAGCATCAGACCCTAACGGCAACTGGGGCCGGCTGCCTCGTCGTGTGGGATGTGACGGAAGATTTAGCTGCAAACCAAAACCCCTCCAGATACAGAATCTATCTCATTCACCTTCAGAACGATCCGATCACTGCTCTCACCGTCACTGACAGGTAGCAAGAGAGAGAGAGAGAGAGAGAGAGAGAGAGAGAGAGAGAGAGCTATTCATGTTGTTGTTTTTTAATAAAATGTTCATGTATTTATTGATTTTGATTTCTCCATCTGTTTGACATCACAGCTGTGTTGTGACGGGGGACACTCAAGGCCACATCAAGTTTTATGATGAAGAGCTCTTGCTTCTCATTTGGTACAGTGAGTTCAACCTGGATGCTATTACTTACATTTCCTTTTCCAAAGAGTGTGCAGAAGGATACCTGGAGGACTACACACTGGAGGCAAAACCATTACTCATCAGGTAGAAGAAATACAATCTATTATGTTGCCAGTCTACACTGTTACGTATATTCTAGCTGAGCTGACCTCTCTTTTTCTGCAGGAACTTTGTTGTGTCCACAGCCAGTTCCACAGTGATACATGTGAATACACAGAAAGGCATCCCTCAGATCCTGCTACAGAAGGGAAGTGGGCCTATTCTTGCAGTGGCCTGCCACCCCAAACAGCCAGTTGTGGCCATGGGCAATCGAAGGGGTGTTTTAAAAGTGTGGAACTATGACAACAAAGCCGTCCTCTGCAGCAGGGTCTTCGAGACAGAGGAGCAGATTCAGTGTGTCACTTTCGACCCTCAAGGTGAGCCGACATTCTTGCTGACTGTCAACAAACGAATGCTCCATACAAGCCAGCGTCACCCAGCTGCTACATGAATTTGCAATGTACAGAGCCACCTTGTTGTCTCTGAACAGGAGTATACCTGGCAGTTGGCTTTGGCAGTGGAGCGGTTCACATACTGAATCCCAGCACTTTACAAAGTGATCCAGAGGAATGTTTTCATTTCACTAAAGACAGCATCCACCACATCACTTTCTCCTCAGACTCAAAGTATCTTGCCACTGCGGTGAGCAAGTCCTTTTTCACTATCCAGTGTAACATGTTTGAACTTTGTTATTGGCAACATTGACTGGAGTTTGTGAAATCATGTTGACCTTTTTATTTATAGCTGTGATTGTGAAATAGGTTTGTGGCTATGATAATGTCCTGCAAATCTATTCTTCTATTACATTCTTATAACCTCAAGTGAGACATGGTATAGCTTCACTTCCTTGTTCACTCTTAGGACGCCGGAAAAGCGGTGACAGTATTCCGTTTGCAGAGTAATGGAGGCTCTCTGCCTCGTTGGGCATATATGGGCAGACACCACTCCCACTACAAGCCCATCAAAGACCTTCTTTTCGGGGTTCATCTGGACAGCACACAACCCAGACTGCTCTCTCTGGGTCTGGACCGCCGACTGGTTAGTCTGCTTTGTCGAAAATTGTAGGACTGTGGACTAGTTTAGTGTTTTGTGATACTAATTGTATTGCCACACGTCTCTCTGTGAACAATAGGTGGAGTATGACCTGGAAAACAGTGACTTAAATAAGCTTCTCATCCTAAGCTCGGAGCGCATTGAGCAAAGCGCTGTGCCAATGAGCATGACTTGGTGTCCTCCTCTTACTACAGAGCAATTTCTCCTCGTTGCCTCAGACCAATACAAGATGAAGCTGTTTAACAGCACTACTAAGATGTGCAGGTCTGTGAGCAATTGTAACAAGATTATTTGTGAAATCTATTTCTCCGACTTTCGTCACACAAATACTTGAAAACATTATTACATGTGATTTACAGAAAGACTCTCCTTGGACCAACATATGGCTCTCCCATTGAGAAAGCAGTGGTCCTTCCCATGTGCAAAGAACCTGAAACAAACTCATATTACTTGGCATACATCACAGAGGACAAGGTCAGTGCTGGATGTTGTTTCCAGTATTTTATTGAGTAAGAGGCTTTAGGCCGGCAGTAGCTCAGATTGTGAGGACTTTCCTTGGAACCGGTGAGCAAGTCCCAGCAGAGACCGAGCATGGAATGTGGACTGGTCGATTGAGGGGTACCAGATCCCCTCCTGGGCACCGTTGACGTGCCCTGATTGATTGATGATCATCCTGCAGTTGCCAACACCTCCAGCCTTGCAGTACAACCTGTGTGCAAAACTTTTTCTCTTTTAATTTCTCACAATGTGTTACTCTGTTGCTTGTTGTCACAGTGTTCATTTGAAAGTAAAGTAGGCCAATTGGATATAAGAATAGTGGTAGATCTTGAATATATATATATATATATAGTTGATATGATATGATATTAAGAGTGTGTTGTACCTCCAGGTGGGTCTCCAGATCATGCCTCTGGATGGGAACCCCTACAAGTCCAACGCTGTGGTCTGCCATCCAACAGGGGTGTCCACTTTTGCCTGCTCTTACGACGGCCGATTTGTTTTCACCGCAGGAACGTCTGACTGGACTGTCCTGTCGTGGGAGATAAGCTTAAAGTGAGGTTAAATAGTACCAACCTGAGAAGCAGGGGAAATGCATAAGTGTACCCATTTTTTTCTGGAGTTAATCGTATCTCTTGTTGTGAGTGCAGTGCATTGGAGGCGGCAGCTGCCTTGGGAGGGAGGGACGTGATGCCCTTTTACACTCTTTTAGAGGGAGGCAGAGATGGCAAATTCTACAGGGTCAGTTAAACGTCTTCCTTGTTTCCTAAGACTACTGAGTGTTAAGTGAACAGCCACAGACTGTTCCATTAACTTGAAGGAAGAAGCAATGTTTTACTTGCATTCCTTATGATTTTTAGACATTTCTGATACCTTTTGAACCACAGATTCTCAGTTTTCTGAGCTTTATGTTTTTAGGAGATGGAGAACTTTTTCTATTACTGCCAAGTCCGTCATCAAGGCACTGACACAATGGAGAAACGACAACTGTCTACCAAAATCCCTCTGTCAGAGGTTCCCTCTCTAATGAGAGCGTTGGCCTACTTCCCCACTGAGCAAGAGGTACAGTGTGTGTAAACGAAGCTACATTTTCAACCGTGAATGTCATTTTATCTGACAGTAAAATCATTCAAGAAAAGTCTTTCTATACCTCAGACCTGTGATAACAAATTGCTTTATTACATCTTACCAGATAGAAGATATGCACAACGAGGTCAAATTCAGCAAGTACGCAGAAACAGGAAAATATGTGACCGACATCGACCTGGAGGAGTTTATCAAGCTGTATGTCAACCACCGGCCAGCTTTGGGCCTCTCGAGCAATGAGCTTGTTCAAGCTTTTCACGTCCTTGGTGACCGTGATGATACAGGACAGGCTGTTTTGCATAAACATGAACTGCTAGAACTTCTACAGACTCGAGGTATGTGCATGCTATTCAGTCAGAAGAGGATTTCTCTCTCTGTGTTTTTGGCTGTATTGCTGTCAATTACTGAGAAACTATTGATCCTCTGCTCCAGTTCCGACACGCGATGCTCATGTTTCTTTGACATCTTTTGACAGGAGAACACATGACAGAGGAAGAGGTGGCAGAGTGTTTCACTACCCTGTTATGCATCAGTGAGGAGGAGAAAGAAGGAGAAGCAGGACGAGGGGAACAATCTGACCATGACAGCCATGAATCTGACAGTACGTAAAAGACAACTCACTCGCAAACTTAAGAATTCACACAACAGCTGAAAAATAGCATCCTCTTTTGATGTGTGTGTGTGTGTGTGTCCAGGTGGAAATTCTGAATATTCCCTGGCGTGTGCGATCCCAGATGAGATATCCATGGAGACATTTACAGGTCACATCTTGGGCTTTGCGTCCTCAGCTGAGCAGAGTGGCAGGTCTTCCCCTCCAGAGTGATGAAAGCAAGAAGCTGTGTTGATGATGAGCCTCACACTCTCTACTGCTCTTTTTAAGATTGCTTTACATAACAGGCCCTAACAGAAATGCTGGAATTTGTATGTATTGTTTTTGATGAATAAATATCAATATTAACTTGGATCATCATGTCAGGCATTTTAAATGAAATATTATTTGTAAGATTAGCAGTATTATCCAGTATGTTGTGGTATCGCTTAAGTATAGGAGTACTTCTTCCACCATAATACATTACTTTACACACATAAAAACAGAGAAGATTAGTTGCATCCATACATTTTTATTAATTTAATTTAATAAGAAGAGTTGCTGACACACTTTGACAGGGAGAAGCTGAAAGGCACATTTAAAATCAAGAAGTGATCTCTATGATTCCATTATTTTTTATTTCCATTCAGAAGTAAAATGAATATTATAATAATACATTAATCAATGATGTTGTCACATTCGCAGAGTAATTGTTTTGTTCAGTAACAGCTCTATAAACTCTCACAGCATATTTAAAGCTTTGCTCTGAGGTTTATTTTGAGTCCTTCGGTGGGTGGGGCTCTGACTCCGACCAATCAGAAGCGCTTTCAGAGATGAACTTCCTGCTCCGGACAGAGAACAGTCTGCAAGCTGTTATTTTTTTTGTCAGCTGGTCGCTGCGACTCTCGGCTAACAAAACAACAACAAGTTCACTCGAGCCATTAATTACAGACAGCTTCAAGAATGAGTGAACCGAGAACTCGGACTCAACGGCACGAAGTTGACAAACTTTAACCGAGAAGTCCTCCGCAACCGCGTCTTCTTGGCGAGCCCGATGAAAGCGAGAGGATTGTTGTTCTAGCTCGCTGGCTAACATTAGCTATTTGTCTGGTTGAGGTACCGACATGGCTACTCGAGAGATGTCTTCACGGTACACGTATCGTCGCCCGCCGTCAAGCATAAAGCAGGAGCAGGATGACGACTCGGACTCGGAGGCCCAGCTGCTGGGCCTGAAGAGGTTGGACGGGCTGGAGTCTCAGATCATCCACAGCGGACACTTCATGGTGTCATCGCTGCATATCGAGCACCCTCCGAAGAAAGGCTACGACTTCGACACTGTCAACAAACAGACCTGTCAGACCTATCACTTCGGCAATGCGAGGATGTCACATCTCTCCATAGACGCTTCGCTGACCAAACTCTTCGAGTGCATGACTCTTGCGTACAGGTATGTTATTACATCTCGCCACCATGTATTCACGTTGAAACGTTCGTGTTCACTGTTTAATGTCTTCACCCAGCTGAGCTGACTTCAATCATGTGCAGATAAAAAAAGTCAGGCATGGGACACACTAGTGTGAAACTGCTGTCACGAGTCTTCTCTTCATGTAACTTCCTGCTTGACCACTCATGATTGTGGTGAAGGAAGAAGGCCTACTCACCCTTTAGTACCAACACCACACAGTAAAAACACTCCATCACAAGTGAAAGTCCTGCACTCACTCGCATAATTACACTTATACTACAGATGTATGATCAGATTGTTAGCACTAATGCATTGGCAGCATTCTGCTGTTGTAGTTGATCAAGATTCAGCCTGGTGTAACATGTATACAATAACAGAGTTTCGTTCCAGTTGGTTTAGACTCTCTCCTAAAGGTCACAATATAAATTTGGGGGTTCATGAAATGATTAATGGGGTACGAGAGAAGAAGGGGGGAAAAAAAGTTCTGCCACACAAATTTATATTCATATTTCATTTTGAATAAATTACCTCTTTGGGGCCCAACAGGGATTTGTTTAAGCCTTCTGAGAATTTGATCCTGCTTTTTTTTGTAAGGCGTGCCGGGTCAAAAAGGTTGGAAACCACTAGTTTAAGCATGTCTTGCCGAAGTTGCCATGTTATTAGTTATCAGACGGATCTGAAATATGGCCTTCTGTCATGACACGGATTACATTTTTGTTTTGATAGTGCTGAAATACTGGCAGGCGCCGCTCCAGGCTTGTTCGGTCACACTATTAGATTCCACATGTCAGTCACTTTAATTTTGTCTCTAAAATGTGACAAATACTGAGAACTGACCCTCGAGAGGTACCAGGTCTCAAATAAATGCCCGCAAATATTTCAGGTAGTCTGACAAACAGCATGAAAGAGTATTTCGTCGACAATTGAGTAAACCGAGAGTGGTGAGTCAATTAAAAGACGTCGCTCATAATGCAGCCGCGTGAAAAGACAAACAAACACAAAAACCTGTACGGTGAATGTTGATAAGTTTATAGGCTTCAGGCAATGTTTTTAAGATACAAACTAAAAGAGAATGTTGATGTTACTAAGATATTTAAAGGCAGGATTGGTAATCTTAATTATTTTCTTTTTCAAACAATCAATGAATCAAATGCTCTTAAATCAACAGAAAATCCAGTATCTGCAGCTTTCGCATGGCTGTCATAAGCCCGTCCAATTATGATCATTTCGTGGGAGTGGCTTTGAAGGGTTTGTTTTGCCGACTTGGCGACTTTCTTACTGGATTTAGCAACTTAACGGAGCTGGTGCTGCTCGGTTATTTCATTGGAAAAAGAGTTGGCAGCACCGGACTTGGTTTTCGGGCTGAATAATTTAAAAAACTCGAGCTTACTCTAGTAACAAGATTACCAACCCTGCCTTTTAGAGATGAGTTGTAAAATCAAATGCCGGGCTCACGTTACCCATGGTTCTGTTTACAGCTGTTGTGTTACTGTAGTGTTGGTGGAGAGCCAGCTGTCTCAGAGGATTCCCTCTGACTTTGCTCATGGCACTGACTTGGATTCATCGGGAGGACTATCTTTAGGCCTGGAGAGCACGACTACCAGTTACTGTTCTGCTGTTGTCATTCATACCAAACAAAGAAGCAAAGACTTCATGTACACGAGAAAGGCTTTACTCAGAACAAGAACAATGTGTTCCCCACGTAATGCTGGCTCTTCTCTAGTCCTTGCACCGAGTTGGACTGCGTACTCTATTTGTTGAAACTGCTTTTTCTTCTATCAATGACTAACACAGTACTCGTACAAACAGTAAGCACACAAATGACAACGGTCAAAGGCTGCAGAGGAAGTGTTGCAGTGTTGCAGGAGAGGACGGATGAAAAGAGGGAAACTGTGAGCTAACCTGTTTGGATTGCAATAAGCATTTCCTTATTAGAGCAGATTGGTGTTCTTGAACGTCATTCTCTCCTGTCCTGTTAAAGTTAAACATAAACTTAAGTCATGTCACTTGACAAACATTTTTAAAGTTTGATGCATATTACCGTTTTCATGCAGAAGAATTAAAACACTCAGACGTTAAACTTATTTTTGTATGTAGCCATTTCAGCAACAATTGCTTTCCATAAAACATCTAAAGCACCGAGACAAAGTGCAAAAGAAACACACCAATTAAATACAATTAAAACACACATTAAAGAGCCAAGATAATAGAACATGAAAACAAGCTAAAGAATAGAATGAGATGGGCATAAAATACAAGAATAAAAGGTACAGTGCAGTGTAAGAAATAAATAATTATTTGATTTAATAAAAGTCTTCAGCCTTGATTTAAAAAAACTGAGAGTTGCAGCAGACCTGCAGTTTTCCATGTATTTGTAAATTATTAGTTTGACAGACAGGAAGCCAGCATAGAGACCTCAGAGCCGGAGGGATGTGATCCACTTTCTTGGTCTCGGTGAGGACTTGAGCAGCAGCAGCGTTCTGAATCAGCTGCAGCTGTCCAATCGATTATTTTAGTGCGATCTGTAAAAACACCAATATGGTCGTCGAGTCTACGGAAGATAAATGCGTGGTCCAGTGAGACATGCATCCTTTAATCCTTGAGATATTCTTCAGGTGAAAGCTGGCTGACTTTGTAGTTGTCTTAATGTGGCAGTTGAAATCCAGGCTTGGCTGCATGACTACAGCAGGATTTCTGGACTGGTCCGTGGTCTTTAACATTGAGGATTGAATCTGAGCGCTGAGGGCAATGTTGCTGTTTATTACTGCCTGTTTGAATTAAAACAGAAATGTACCATGTTGTTGACAGATTGTCCACGGCTCCAGAAATGTCACTGTGCTGTTATGAAGACGTTCACACACTAAAGCCATAACGGTGCACATACACGCCTCCTTGTTTTACATTTCATAGCTTGCGTGTGTGTTTCCTGTCTGTGTATTTGATTCCTTGTCTTCCATCACACTTGTAACTATCATTCTGACTTGAGCTTGATCTTGTCAGCTGGTTTGTTTTGTCTTATCTCTTTAAGTATTTATAGTACACAGCGGGAGTTGTTCAAGGTGACCTGAAACTTTTTCTAAACAAACTCAAATTCCCAGTTTGTTGTGTTATTGTGGGGTAGAAGAAGAAAGGAAGCATTTTTTTAAAGTCTATGGAATATGTTTTTGTTTTAATCTTCTACAAGCAAGAATATCGAGGTTTCTCCTGCTAATAACACGAAGGAGATCCCCCGTGAGGGTTTGAGTTATAGTTGAGATGTTGATCTACTTGTACAAGTTAAGCCGTTGTTTGTGTTTCATAGAATGTCTTGTGAGGTTTATTTCACTGTAAACTTTCTTGTCTTTTCAGTGGTAATTTGGTATCTCCCAAATGGAAGAACTTCAGAGGTCTAAAACTGCTTTGGAGAGACAAGATCCGCCTCAACAACGCCATATGGAGGGCCTGGTATATGCAGTGTAAGAGTTCCTCTTTCATTTGGTATGCATAGAGTGTAGAGGGTGTCGTTATTGTTATAGTATCTTAGTGACTTAGTTACACTTCTTTAATCAAGTGTGGAGACATCAGGATCTGGTTCAAGAATATAGTGGAGAGACTCTTTCATGAATCAGATTCTTTATTCGTCTACATCTGTGCACATATTGCCCTTTTCAGGATCTATGATCTCACCAGGCTTTATTCTTCTTGGTTCTCATGTGTATGTTTATTAGAATCTGCCCTTCACAGCACTCCAGCAGCATTATCTGTAAATTCATGAACTTTCACAGTATGGAACTGGGTCTCTTTTTTTTCTTCACGACTTCAAGATAAATATTGGCGCCACCTTTGCAACTTGCTGCAGTAATATCGGTTTGTTTACATTCCATGAGCAGTTTTGTGACAGTGACTGATGGCATATCTTATTCATATCCCTAAAATAAACACAAACTGGGTCAAGCTTTTCTTGAGTTACAAGCTGAGCTATGAGCATTCTTTGGTCCACTATAAGCAATAAGTGCTGCAACATACAGTATGTTCATTTATGTTTTATTGTATTGTACCAGTAAAGATTCAACTGAGGGTGACTTGAAGGATGTTTATTTTCTACCCCTAGATGTGGAGAAAAGGGAGAATCCTGTTTGTCACTTTGCAACTCCCCTGGATGGAAGCATGGACTTGTACGTCCGTCGTCCTGCTGAGGTAAAGAGAACTGTGATCAAACAGCAGTCGTGACTTTGCCTTGTTTCTTATCACCAAAAACCTTCCATGGATATGATTGTATGTTCACTCTCTTAAGCACTTACTTGTCATTGAGTTTTATGTTTCCTTTGGCACTTCCTTTCTTTGCCGGGTGTGTTTGTTACGGATCATCTCCTCTTTCTTTTGCAGGGCAGTGCCCCAGATGGGATATGCTGGAAAAGACGAATTGAAATCGTCATCAGAGAATACCACAAGTGGAGAACATACTTTAAAAAAAGGGTATTGTATTATGTATTGTAGTAGTTAAGGGGTATTCTGTGTATTTGGCATAATGTGTCTTGTTTGTTTGATTGGTCATAAAACATTAATATTTATCTAATGTGGCACTCGCGTTCTCTTTTGTAGTTACAGAAGCACAAGGATGATGACCTCTCAAGCTTGCTTAAGGTACGCTAAACTGCATCATGCTCAACCCACCAAAGTGCTGCTAGTACCAAGATGAACATCACTATCAATACCAACCAGATGTTAATATGAATGGAATTAACTCATGCTAAACTGGTCACCGTCACATACTTACATACTTTTGTAATATATCATCTGTGACTATGCAAACAAAAATGTATGTCCATATATAGATACACGGTGATTCATTTTTTAAGACTAGTGCATGAAGTGTGGAGACAAAATGTTGTTAATTAGTTTAGTGCCATTCCATGTTGGCTGTACTCAACAATGCACGCTTGTGTGTCATTGACTGGCTTGGTGGTTGCATTTTTAACACTGAAAGGGACCAGAGGAGCAGTTATTGCTGTTTGGGGAAGTCTCTCCAGACATGCTCCGTGTCTCCTTTTATCAGGATGAAGACACTGCTGTGCGCCGCCTGCCTCGTAGGCATAATGAAACGCCTGACCCTATGGAGATGGACCCCCTCTTTGACATGGATGTCCTGATGTCTGAGTTTTCAGACACGTTGTTCTCTACGTTGGCCTCGCACCAGCCCATAGCCTGGCCTAATCCACGGGAGATTGGTCAGTCTATTTTATGAAATCGATAGGTGATTTAACAATTGATTTGTTACTGTTGTCTTTTGTTCACTGTGGCCACCACTGGCATGTCTTCTCTCTGCCTCTGCCTCTTTGCCTCCCGCAGCACACGCAGGGAACGCAGACATGATCCAACCAGGACTCATCCCTTTACAACCTAACCTAGACTTCATGGACTCTTTTGATCCACTGCAAGGTAGGAGTAAGGCACCAACCATAGCTGCAGTAGTGTTGCACACGCACTAATAGTGCACACTTTATAGGAATCAAGCGCACACGTTCTTGTAACTCAGCTAAAGTAGTCGGCTTAGGCTAACACAAAAAGTAGCGTGGTTCTACTAACCTCTAGCTAACATAGACTCTTTTCCAGACTTATTTCACAGCCTCCGTCAGCCTGCCTTCCCCTCTGTTTCACCCACTGCAACATCTGTCACCCTTCAACCCAGCAGCAGCTCACAGTCGCAGGTAAACACAAACCCAAGGCACTGCTCCTAACACACAACCCACCATGATGAGAGTTTGTTCAAGGGCCGTGTTATTTTTCCTTGATGCAAGACTTTGTGTTGTTGTTTTTAGGTCACTTTGTGAGTATTTTCGCCACATCTTCTACCATTTTTTTCTGTCTTAATGTAGTTACACAAAAAACAATTGTAACATAATAATATTACTAAACTTTATTTACAGAGCACTGTTCATACATGACCTGCTCCTCAAACTGCTTCGTTTTTGAGAGTCAAATACTCACTCAAAAGTTGGCAAAACATTTTTCTTTTCTTTCATGCTGTAGTCGTCCTTCAACCTTTTGCCATATTTTCTGCTGGGTCCATAAATGCAGCTTCACCGTAGTTACTTGTCTGACTTTTAACATTATATTATAGCTTTTTTTTTTTTACATTGAAGGAACATACAGTCTTACAGACCTTGACATTTGCTTCCTCATTTCCTCAACACTAAATATTCAGGGCTCATAAATAAATAAATATAATAATAATAAGAGTAAATTACTTTTAGGAACAAAATGACAACCGGAGCTGTATCCGTGAGCCGTACCAAAGATATATTTTGCAGCGGTTGTTAGTGTAGTTTGTGTATATGTCCATGAGTGCATGTTCATGGACATATATTATATTTAACGTATATATAAGTAAAAAGGATAGAATAGAATGAAACATTGGCTTAACAGATATGCATTTTGCACTAGCCTGAACTGAGTGAATAGATAGACTGATATAAATGCTGCTAGTTTATTCTGGTCTCTATCCTCCCAAATCAACAAAAAGTGACATTAAGAAAAGTGTTTTCTTTAGTGCAAGTTGGTTGGAGTTGTGAAAATGTTACTTAATTAATAATGCTACTTCTTTTTTTTTTTTTTTTCATAACCTTAACGAGCACAAAATAAAATTCTAGCTAACATGAACGTGCATAGAACTGAGTCTCTAATGTTTCATTTTGCACTAGAGGAAAGAGACTAAGTGTGTTTGTTCCCTTTCCTTCATCCCTTCCCAGGCCCAGTTAATGTCCTCCATGCTCACAAGCAACAACATCTCCCCTCCTGGCCCTCTGCCCATCCCCTCTCCCATGGCCAGTCAAACCAGTCGAACAGGTGGTGGTGGTGGTGGTGGTGGTGGTGGTGGTGCAGCTGGTGGTGGTGACGCTGCTGCCTATGTACAAAACTACCTGCCTCTGTTTCCTGGGCATTTGTCGCCCAGGGATCAAGCAGCAGTTTCCTCAGTCTCTCAGCCATTATCCCATGATCCTCTGGCACAGTGCCTTCCAAGTCAGGACATGGCCTCAGCAGCACCCATGGTTTCATCGTCCTTGGACAACGCCTCAGCGCTGGATGAGACTGTAGAACCATCTGTGATTACACACAAGACCTCCTCTACTGTTAAACTCAGCGACGCAGCAGCCGCCTTCAGCCACGCCTCAGACTATAGCTCCATATCCACACAACCTCCACCTCCTCCTTCTCAACTTCAGCCCTTGGCTCCATTAACTGCCACAAGCGTCCAACACCCTCAGACTTTCGCCCTGCCTCGGCCCTTTCAGTCATCCAGTGCCAACAAAAACCGCCCTGTGCAAAGGATTGCTCCTGCTAACACCCTCCCCCCCTCCCACCTCATCCTCACAGGTCGGTTGTTTCTGGTCTCAAGATCAAGATTTTGGTTGTGCAATTGTGCATTTAACATTGTTGATCTGTAAGTGGAGCTTTGTTACTTTAACCTAATCACCACAAGATAGCGCTCAAGCCTTTCTTAACCCAAACCACTTCACCGTTAGGGTGCCCTTTGCTTTTGTTTTAATAGAACAGCTTATCTTTGTAAAATTCAATCTCAAGATATTAAATTAAAACTTAAAAGATGAAAAAGGCAGAGGAAATCCAAGTTGTAAAAACTCATTCATGGATGTTCACGTATGAAAGCACATAAAACTGACTTACTGTCAATGTTCATCCTCTCAGCCCCGTTCCCAGGTCATGCCAATGCTGTGATTGTTACACCATCGCCTCTGAAAGCAGATGTGGTCCGTAATACTGGAGTGGTCATCGCTCCTTCTCAGATTGGAGCGGTATGTTTCAGATCTTACATAACAGTGGGTCCTCACATTATTGAGTTGCCAATAGAAAATTACAAAACTGCAGCATTTACATTTTATTGTTTGTTTTTCTGTGGTGTGCATAATTCGTAAGTGTGAAATTAAAACTTTACTTGTCTTAAAACTTAGGTGATTTTTAATTTCTTGTCCATTTGTTCTCTTTTCATGTATTTCAGACTCCTGGATTTCACGTTTTGTCTCAGACACAGAAGTCTCCCCAGCAGATTGTCCCCAAAGGAAAGTCTTCCAGCCGCAAAAGCCAGAAAGCCTCCTCCTGTGTCGGTGAGACAGACTTCACTCTACCCAGAAAGTACATCATAACTTTAAAGCCCACAACTTGTTACAAGTGTGTTTTTTTTCCAGGTCACAGTCAGCCTGGATCAGGTCAAGGATCCCCGCATGCGTTAGATCAGGTTCCTAGTCCCCAGTCACTGATCAGCAGCAGCACTTCACCTTTGGAAAAGAATGAACAAAATCAGGTTTGTGTGTTTATGTTTCTCAGCATAAATGGTTTGCTCGTGTGTTCGATACATTATGTAAAAAATGAATTAAGACACAGTACGCCTGTAACCTGTAATATTTCCGCTACTGTTGTGTGACAGAGCCGGAGGACAACATGCATATCTGCTGAGCAAAAGAGACGATCAAACATAAACATTGGCTTTAAAACACTCTGCAACGTGGTCCCCACTCTAAAGTCCCAATCAAATGTAAGTCTGAGTGTCTACATAACATATCCGTAATAGATTCAGGACATCACTATTTTTGGCCATGTTTGTGCACAGTTTTTGTAATGTATTTGACAGTTTTTGTAAAGTATTTGATGTGCTCTTTCCCTCATTTACTTTCTGCATTTAGATCAGTAATGCAGTCACATTGCAGAAGACTATGGATCACATTTGGAAGCTGCAACAGGAGAGGCAGCAGATGCTGGAAGAGGTCAAGAGGCTACGAGAGGAGATAGAGGAGATCAACACCTCCATTAGGTATGTTAAAACATTGTATATGCGTCACCCCTCTTCTGATATACAAAATTTGCACTCAACTGTTTCTGTCTCTTGTCACTGCTTAACCACAGCTCGTGTCAGGAACAGCTGCCTGCAACAGGGGTCCCTATCAGGCGAAATCGCTCCGACCACATGCAGGGGAAGTTCAATGAATATGTGAAGAACCGCACTCTTCAGAACTGGAAGTTCTGGATTGTATCCTTCAATAAAGGAGCCCTGACACTGTTTGCTGCTTAATAATAACAGAGTATAGTGTAAGCATTTGGCTTGTGCAGACATCTTGTTCAGATCAGACTGATACATGACGGAAGGAATATACTGTATATCCTATGTCCACATTGCCAAGATGGTTCAAAATATAATTACAAATGAACAAAAATGTACAGTGACAATTTTACCAGTGATGCTGTCTTATAGAAGGGGAATTGCTTTGTTGTTATCTACCAGCAGCAGTAGCCATGTTGTTGTTGTTGATGTCAGGGGCATTAAGGATCTCTTTGACAGATCACGTAATGTTTTGTCCCTATGTACAATATGCAGTGCTGCTCTTTTTTAAAACCAATCTCTGATTTTGTTAGTTGCATACTTCTTAGGTTAAGCAACCCGCAGATTGAAGCATGAAGTGGTGAAAGCTAAAGATGTGCATGTTCGACTTCTGGGACTCAAACAGTTGATCAGGCAGAGTTGCATTTGTCTCACTCTCTAGTATAGCTGATCCTTGACCATCATCCATTCTAGTTCAGCATCATTATCAAGCCTCTCTTTGAGTCGTTCAATGGGATGGTGTCAACTACGAGCAGGGCAGAGCTCTGTCAGACCACATTGCAATGGCTCGATCGTCACTGCTCCCTTCCAGCGCTCAGACCCAGTGAGTAAATTACTATTTCTCGTAGACATCCAGCATAAACCAACACAGTCTTATCAGTAGTTTTGGATCATTCGCCGCCCAGCGGAGACTTCCTTCCAGCGTCAAAGTATTAGATCACAACTGTGTGCAGTTAAATTACTCACGGTTTTATACTTCCTATCTGTCACTATCTCTGTTTGGTTCAAGCTGATGTCAAGCAACCATGATATTCAAGTGCTTCTCATTTTTTTTAATGATGCATTGCATCACTCCATTTTCAATCTCTTGGGCGGAAACGGTGATTATCACTCTTTCCAGTCTGTTTTTTTGAACCTCCCACTTGTTCAAAATATTCCGTCTTTGTTCCTGACTCAGTCTGACTTTAGCAATGACGCTTAGTGGATCTGATAACGAAGGTGACAAAAGATTTCGATCATTGGAAGTCACAGTTTCTGCTGCTCATTGGAGGCTGGACTGCAGTAAAGTTAAGACTTAAGAAGGTTAACGCTGCAGCGTTTTACTCCATATTTAGCCGGGTGGTCCCCTTAGATCCAATGATACAATGAGTATCCTGCAGTCAAATCATTAGTTGTAAGAAAATCTTTAGAATTCCCCTGAGTTACTGTCCATAGCATGACTATGTGTTTAAAGCAGCAGTTATGGAAAAGTCCAGATAAATGACAAATTGCCCCCAGTTTCCTGGGAAACATTAGATATAACAATTTGTTGCACATTAACATGTTCCATAAAGATTTTCTTTTTTTAATTGGACCGAGACGGTTTCCTCCCACTCACTTATTGCAAGTAGTTGAGGTATAGTTGAGGTATTGAGAAAATTGTGAATCTTTTACATACCTACTGTGTAGCACTCTTTAAGGATACATAGCATGACAGTTAGCTTCAAAATGCTGCTTTATACAGTCGGGTTGTGGTTATTAAAATGTGGTTTCTTGATTTTCAGTGGTGCTGAGTACCCTCCGCCAGCTGAGCACAACCACGTCCATACTTAGTGATCCGTCTCTGCTGCCTGAAGAAGCCACCCAGGCTGTCACTCATACAGACGGGTGGCCTTGCTCTCAGAGGTGATGAGGTGACCCAGAAGCCACCTGAACCCTTTGATAGCAATCATCAAAATGACACATCACTAGTTTACCTTACAGGCATTCAGCAAGGCCATCACTTCTTCCACAGATGAAATGACTTTAAATAAAAGGATAAATGTAAGCTAGGTCTGGTTTACTTTTACTCTGTATGTACGATGGTCATGTTGATGTTGATTCTGAGAAAGAGCAATGTCAAATGAGCTGCCGCACTTCCTGTGGCAAGCTCAGTTGCCGCAGTTTGGGAGAGTTGCCACGGCAGTTGCTGGTTTTATGCCTTTATTTTTCGTTTGAGGTCCTTGAGCTTATGACTGTTGGTAGTTGTAATTGGTTTAGTTAAAAAAATGCCGAATTGTAATATTATGGCTGATCGTTATGATTAAATCCAGCTAATATAGGCTACTCTCAGGGACCTTAATGTATTGTCACATATTGTCAAATTATGAAAAATAAAGCCTTAAAACCGGCAACTGTCGTGGCAGCTGAGCTTGCCACAGGAAGTGCCGGTGCTAGCTCCCGCTGCCACAATTTGAGCCAGATCCTACTGGAGATCCTTGGGAATGATGCACACAGGGAGGCCGATCTTTGACATTACATTTATAACAATTGTGGCTTTTCTGATATTGTATTTGAATGACAGCAGCTAATACTAAACTTGAGGAGTTACTAGATACTTTAGTGAAAGGTGGTACTGGTTGTTTGCTTTTTGAACAATTATATATTTGAATTTGAATCACTTTTATAATGTAAAAACACAACATTGTGTTAAAAAGGGAAGTATTGCGTGACTGTTCATTTTATGTACTCACTCAGTTGTACAAAGTGTATGGATAGGATGCTTTTTTCACAAGGAGATGAGATGAATGTGGGATTTTTTTTAGGACTAGCTGCAGTATAGTTTGTGTGTTTTGAAAGCTCTGAAACCTCCCAAAAAGGTTTCACATCGGATCGTCTGAAACATAGTTGCTCATGGGCTGGTGCTTGATTGTCACAAGAAAGCTGAGACCGTAATTGTCTTTTTCACCCCTCATTTACTCAGGTGAATGCCGTTTAGACCATTAACAATAGTGAGTTATTGGTGGGATCTCACCCATGCTGAACATCTTCCTTCCTACTTTGCCCATTTCCAGTAAGTTCAACTGCAAATTGTACAAGAAAGCAGTCATCTTAAATACAGCATGTTACATACATGGGTTTCTACTGGGCGGCTCACAGCATAATGGAGAGATATTACTTAAAGCCCTCATAGGGAGCATAACTGAAATAGCAGTACAGATTATTTATATACTACAGTGTTTCAAGATCTTAACTGAATGCACAGTAGTTGTAGGCGTCTTCCTGTTCTTTGTTGATTACTCAGGGATGCGCTGGTCAGCGTAATTGTTTTCCATTCAGCTATGAACAAATCGAGTCAGAGTCCTTTACATCAGGAAAACATGTCCGTATAAGGGTACAGGTTACGTCACATGGTTTGATTTACCTGTTGTTCCCCCCTCTTAATTACACTAATTTATAAGGTGTGCTAATGACAGACGGGAGAAAACAATCAGTATGCCATGTGAAAATATACAGCACACAGAAAGAGTAGTCTACCCGTCCATTCAGTTAATTGTTTGTGTTACTGAAATCATGTTTGACAGTGTGCTCTGTTGACTGCTTGAGAATTAGACAATGTGCAGATTTACTCTGCATGTCTGACGTACGGCCTTAAAGTCACGTGATCTCTGCAGGCTAATTAGTCTTGTCTTTTTTTTTTTTTATTATTTGTGTTCAGCACTCCTCAGGCAGACGTTGATTTTGTGACTTGTGTTTTTACTTTCTTTTCTGCACAACAACTCAGTTTACTATGAGTTTTACGGTAGCAAATGGCACTACAGAATTTGGAGCTTTTTGAGTGTTTTATTTTGAATTGCAGATTGTTTTTAATTGTCGATTTCACTTTTTTACAAGATAGAAATAATTTACCTGTTGATGTAAACAGTGCTCAATTTACAGCAAGACAGGAAAGGCAGTCATCAAAATTCAACACGTTACGGTAATGCAAATCAAAAAGGCCTTACGAATTATGACAGAAATCCCCAATGTTCATTTGTGTGGTCATTTTATTTTTTTGTTTTTTTTTTCCTCATCTGATTTCAAAATGTAATACCAGGTTGGATTTCCAACATTTTTCTTTTTCAGTGAGAGGGGGTTTGTACCTGATGTACAGTATATCATTGCAGATTGGATCTGCCCATGTTGCCTCTCATTAAATTTAGAGTGTTTTTTTTTTGTTCACTTCCAAAGTTCTTGCAATGTTTTAAGATGCCTTAAATGATTTTGACTCACAATAAAAGCAGCAAAAATTAAAATCTTGACTTGGTTTATTTTCAATAAATATCACTTTAAAAGAAATAAGTATTACTTGGTTATCAGATACTGATAATAATAAGAACTATGCAGTAACATCCAGGACAAGTTTACTTTCTCGTCAACATAAAACTGGATTATATAAATGTATGGTTTAATAATTAAAAGCTGTGTAACTTAAATAAAACATTCATACTAAGCAGTAAAATCAAAACTTTGCATTGCTGAGCTGTTGGTTCAAAAGCTCGAGCACACATTTGACATGAACATAATCGTCCATGTTCGGCTTTAAGGGGGGCAGGTTGCAGTCTGCCGTTGGGTACCAAACCAGCGCCAGACTGTTAATGTTCTCGCTTATCATCATCAGGTGATGTTTCAGAGTCGGGGTCAGCTCGGACATTACCCCCATGTAATGGCGGAAGGAGCAGAGATGGTGAGCAGTGAAGAGCTGCTGCTCTGGCACGGCCAACCCAGTAGTGTTCAGGGAGAGGCAGGAGATGTTGGGAAGCTGTCCAGGTTCATCCTACAGGAGACAGACTTGGTCAGTACGATATAGGTGTCCACATCAGTAAGTAACACCCAGGGATGTAGAGTAACCCAAGTGGGCTACGTTTTCTCAAGTGATGCTCTCACGCATCAAAAAAGTTTCAGTAATGACGGTAGAGATTTCGCAACTTAACACTCCTGCATGTCAATATCGATTAGAGCTACTTTTATTTGTAGGTTAAACAGATCAAATAAAGAATCAAAAAGCTTACTAAAAGGCGCAGAGCGGCCTTTGTCTCCTCCTGTATCTGCCGAACGTTTCTGATAACGGCCGCGGTATTTGTCCCCGTTGTAAGAGGCCCGCAGGCTGCTTCTGCACTGAGCAGCCACAGGAAGATGATGCCTGCAGCAGTGACATGAAAGAGCACAGGTTAGCGATGAATTAGATTAGAATATACACACACACGCACATACACAGAAGCATGCAGTCACTACTACAGAGTTTCCGTGTTCTGCAATGCCAAAGTTTAAGTTGTAGGACTACCTGGTTTAAAATATTGTGTCACACTTCAATATGCTTACCGGCACAGCAATTCATGACAGCAGTAGGCTTTAGTCGGCAGCAGAGTTTCTAATGCGACACTTTCTCTGATCCATCCTTCCTTCGATGATCACTTTTATTGGGACTCCTTAGATAAAGATCAACATCTTAACATTTTCCCTTGCGTGTTGGCTGTCTCAGAAAGAGTCATACAAGCTCAGGATTCAAATTTACTTTCTGGGGGTTCCCTCTTTAGGAATCTCCTACACCTACCGTAATGTGCCTATAGCATGAATAGATTTAACTCTTTTTCCAACTCAGTTGTGAAGTATATTGTTTTCACTCAATATAATATCAATTACCAACAACTATTAATATTTTTAACATTACAATTCATAATTAATCTGGAAAATAGACAACCGTTTTTTTGTGATACACACTTCATTTCCTCAATAATTAAGACATGTACATATAAAAGCATCAAAATAGAGCTTGTTTATCAAAAAAAGGTTCCTGGGGAGGATAACCCAGACCCACCTATAAAGGTCCAGGCCCTGAAAGTCCGCAAATCCTTGAAATGCCGGACAAACATAGTTAATGCCATTTTTTAAATTACACACATTAAAAATATTTGTAAAGGTCCCTTCACTCAAGGTTAAACATCATCATTTCTGAGAAGTAAGAACATTCACCTAGAGAAACGGCAAATATCAGCCTGTCACAACGATTGTTAAACAACGATTGTTGTTCAGGTTGCAAATTGAAAGCATGAGGTTGGTTGAAGTGTTGAGGCAGTCCAAAAAACGTAAGGGTACTGGGGTGTATGTAAGTGAGCACCTAACAAAGAAAAATGCTGAAATAGCCAGAAATGGTCGTACCCTCATAAAGCAAAACTAAATTCAAGCAACATGGACAAGAAATGGAAAAGTGTTCATACGGTTAAATGGACCACCAAAGCAAGACAAGGTGGTTGTGGTACTGAATGTGGGAGAACGGGATCGAGTGACATTATTTGTAGCCGGGGCGGGTCAGGGCATACTGCAAAATGTATCAAGGCAGGAACGACACCGCATTCATCACAGCAGCCAGTGTAAGACCAAGAATTTGCATCGGTTTATACTATAGATATATTTATATTAGTGCTGGGCAACGATTAAAATATTTAATCGTGATTAATCGCATTGTTATGGCAAAGTTCAATAATGAATTCAAAAGTAGTGTATTGCGCACTTTTATTTTAAAAGTACTGCTATATGAATGGTTCACGAGATACAGGTAGCATGTTTTATACTTAATGTGAATATAATTCATACTTTGTTGGCATCTTATTCTGAAAACCGGATGTTCGTCTGAAGAAACCGGATGTTGTCTCACGTTAATCTTTCCGCTAACTTTCAAAGTCCTTCGCTCACTCCCGATCTGTACCGTTTAAATGCGTTTACCGTGAATTTCAGCATATAGGTGCACTAAAATTACTGACTGTAGGATGTTTGCTGGCTTTTATCCCACTGTTCTTGTCATCCTCTTGTTGTTATGTATATGTATTGTCTCTTGTCTTTCAATAAAAAAAAAAATTTTTTTTTAAAAATTAAAAATTATAATAAATTAAAAAAATGCGTTAACGCGCGATAAAATAATTGTCGGCGTTAAGGGTTAGGGTTAGGGTTAGCACTAATTTATATCTGTTTATTTATTTATTTTTGGTCATGTCATGTTCTGGAGCATACCCTGTCATCGAGTCTGATTGTAGCTTGCAGCGAAAATTTCTGCAAATCTTATTTCCAAATTACTTTTTGTTTTTCATAAAATGACAGGAGAAGAGTGTTATTTATCAACTGCAGAAACTGAGTGAAATTATCTTTCTGAAAATGAAAAAAAACCTTAGTTGAGAATTGCTGTAACAAGAAAGAAATGTGAGGAGTCAAATCTAAGTTTTTGACAATAACATTGATCCCGAGGCAAATTTGTACATGATTATAAATCAAATTCTGAATAATATACTGAATATCAGTTTAATAATCTAAATTTGGAGGGTTCCTCAATCATACATTTTAATAGCAGAAACTTCTATTCAACTTTTGATCAAAGACTATTTAAAGTCATTACAACATACATTTCAAGTTATTGCTATAAGAGAGACTTGGTTATCAAATGACAAGTGTGTTGACGTTGTTCTACGAGGCTATGATACGTTCAAAGAAAATCAGATAAATTAGAGAGGTGGTGGTGGTGGAGCATTTTATGTATAGAAACATTTTCAATGTAAGGTAATCAATAGCACAGTGATGATATTATGGAGAGTTTGACAATTGAAATTCATTCTACTAAATTTAAGAGAATATTCTTGAGTTGCATTTATAGAGCATCTGGTTCCTGCATTGACCAATTTATGAATACCATAGTTGATATCTTTGGTAAAGTATGTGATAAGAAAACACTTATTGTTTGTGGTGACTTTAACATTGATCTGTTAAAATGGAAAGAACACAAATTAACTACAGACTTTTGTAATGCAATGTTTAGCTTTGGTCTCTGGCCTCTTATTGACAAACATAGTAGGATAAGTAAGGAAAGTGCCACACTTATTGATAACATGTTTACAAATGTTCATGACAAATTAACAAGGTTTGTTTTTAACTGATATCACTGATCATATTCCTACTTTTGTGATCTTACATAATTTAAAGGTCAGCTGTTCAGTTGGCGTAAGTGAGCCTTCCTGTAAACTGGTAAGAATAAGAACACCTAAGAGAATTGAAGCTTTAAAGTCGGAGCTTAAAAACAACAGCTGGGATGAGGTGTATGATGATGATCCTAATCAGGCCTATGATGCATTTTTGTTCACATTCTTGGAGTTATCCAATAAACATTGTCCTATTGGGAGCTGCTGGGTGAAGGATAAATATACAGGAAATCCATGGATGACTAAAAGTCTGCTTGCAAAAAGAAAAATGTACTTTACAAGAAACAATGAAAGTGAAGAAAAATATCAGTTGTATAAGAATAAACTGAATTCCATTATGAGATCACAGAATAAGGAATACTATAATAAAATACCTGAGGATAGTAAAAGAGAGGGTTTGCTCATCATAGTCAGCAGTGTTTTAGTCTTATTTTTATGTTTTTGTTTTTGGGGGTTGTGGGTAGCAGATTTCCAGCACCTGTTCGCCGCGCCGCAGTGACCATATACCAGGGGGGAACTCAGTCGAGTGGCCAGGCCCAGTGCCAGCACCACAACAATCCACCACACACAGGAGGACAAGGGATTGGGTGGGGAGTTCTGTTATGAGATTGATTGGGTTTGTCATGTGTGTGTATGTGTGTGTATGTGTGCGTTTGTGGAATGACTAGAAAAAAGAAAAAACGAGTCCTGTATAGATAATGTTACTATCAACACAAATAATGGGGAAATCATAATAACAGTAATGATGGAAAGCAAACAATGAAACAAACATACATTTAAAAAAAAAATAATAGAAATAAACATCAATAATGGTAATGACTTATTATAATAATGATAATGGAATGATAATAATAATTAATTAAGTGCCATCGCAACCCTAAGTAATACTATCAAAGTGTAGTTTAAATGCTCCGCACAATAATGTACAACACTCATGTCTCCATCCAAGACAACGGTTCTCATTCATCGGTTGTACAGCTTCCCATGTTTCTATTTCTATTTTCTACCTCTAGCCAGGGTGAGAGAACAGGGCTCATGAGCCTATGGAGGCGGTGAGGATAAAGTTAATTTTTACATTACAGTCATTTAGCAGACGCTTCAGATTCTATCACACTCATACACCGTAGGCACAGCTATGGGAGCATTTGGGTTAAGTGTCTTGCTCAAGGACACATCGACATGCGAATAGCGGAGCTGGAGATCGAACTGCCGACCCTCTATTTGAAGGATGGCCCTGCTCTCCACTTAGCCACAGTCGCCCACCATGTCACTTAAAATAGTGTTGCTCTTAGCTTTAACCACAGCAAAGCATGTGAGTGATTTACAGGCTTTATCCATTCGCCCTTCCTGCTTGCAGTTTTCTCCAGGGCTAGCTAAGGTCTGTCTGCTGCCCAACCCGGCCTTTGTGCCTAAAGTGGTGGAGTCAGCCTACAAGTGTCCCACGGTGGAGCTTTTCACCCACCTCCATTCTCCTCCTCAGAGGAGCAAAGGCCACTTTATGCCTGGTGCGAGCACTGCATGTGTATGTGAGTAGATCAGCAGGTTTCAGGAAAGTGGATCAGCTGTTTGTGTCCCGGGCCACTCCCCACAAAGGCAAGCCATTGTCCTGCCAGAGATTGTAGAGGCCATATCTCTAGCCTATAGGTGTAGGGGTTTGCAGCCCCTCCAGGGTTTGAGGGCTCATTCCACAAAGTGTATGGCCACTTCATGGGCCCTGTTCAAGGGTGTTTCAGTGCAGAATATTTGTGCTGCAGCAAGTTGGGTTTTACAGGCTCAATGTCTCGGGCCATCCTTGGCACATGCTGTGCTAGAGGCAAACGCGCCAGAGTCCCTGTAATAGTCATTACCCAGCTAAATAATATTTGGCTTCAGGAATTTCATGCAATCCGGGAGTGGTCTATATCTCCCATAATGAAACACAGATCGATGTTAGAAAAAGAACTGACTGAACTTACATTGGAACTTTATTTAAGAGATGTTTGTAAATTTATGTTACAAAAAGCTAAAAAAAAGGGATTAAAAGGAGATTTATCTCTATTGTTGGGGTAAAATTATAGAATAATGCTAACATAAATGTAAGAATGTGTAACTCATTTTTGGTTTTCAAAGGGACTGTTTATAAAGCTATTTTTGAGGGTTACAAGTGTGAATGAAATATATTTTTTCTTTTTCTTATTTTTATATTACATTTTCTTGACGGTAACGCAATTGGTAAGAATGTAGTAAAGGCATAAGCATTATTCTGCTGCCTGTGCCTTTTCAGTGATATTGTATACTAGATTGTATATAGGCTTTATTTATTGTATCGTGTGTGTGATGGCTGAATAAAACACTACTACACTACGGTATATGAATGCATCACATTATTCAAATCTCGCTCAATTTCCTATTTGATTCTCCTTGGCAGGCCTCCCTTCAAGATCAACGTGTAAATGTTAAAGACAAAAGTGTGTGTGTGTGTGTGTGTGTGTGTGTGTGTGTGTGTGTGTGTG